CATATATATTTCCATTAAAAATCAATTGAATTAAGTCATGAATCAAAAATGGTCAAATATCAGCAGTTTATATAGTTCAACTTTATTATATCAGATGAAAAAATAAAAATTAAAAAACCTTTACCTTAATTAAGGTGACTCTTTCATTAGCTTAGACAAACATGAAACACAGATAGTTTTATGGGGGAATACTTTTTCTGCAACACTTATCAGCAATCAAGAGACTGACTCTTTCAAATGTGAGATGGTTCAACATGTGAGATGGTTTTTCATCCAAAATGACAATTTACTACTGTAACTTCATCCACAGTTCCTAGTTTTTTTCATCTCTGACACAAACTCGATTTCAAATTAACAATATATTAACTACATGCTAACCTTGTGCAAAGTTATATTCTAGATATTTGGGATTTCCTACCATTTCATTCTATGGTCTCCTATTGATACCATAGTGATTAGCTAGGTGTCCTATATAATAAAAGTCTAGGTGGCATCATGCGATGCCCTCGCACAACGCCGTCACAAGATGGCCGGCAGGGGAGGGCAGTTGGGGGCCATCAGGGGAGGGCAGTTGGGGGTGAGATCAGACCTGCAGGGGAGGGCAGTTAGGGGTGAGATCTGGACTGCAGGGGAGGGCAGTTGGGGGCAAGATCAGGCCGGCAGGGGAGGGCAGTTGGGGGCGAGATCAGGCCAGCAGGGGAGGGCAGTTGGGGGTGACCAGGCCAGCAGGGAAGGGCAGTTAGGGGTAACCAGGCCTGCAGGGTAGTACAGTTGGGGGCGATCAGGCCAGCAGGGGAGGGCAGTTGGGGGTGATCGAGTGGGCAGGGGAGGGCAGTTGGAGGCGATCAGGCCAGCAGGAGAATACTTAGGTGTCAATCAATCTGGCAGGGGAGCAGTTAGGGGCAATCAGGCAGGCAGGCAGGTGAGCAGTTAGGAGCCAGCAGTCCCAGATTGTGAGAGGGATGTCCGACTGCCGGGATTGGGCCTAAACCAGCAGTTGGACATCCCCCAAGGGGTCCCAGATTGGAGAGGGTGCAGGCTGGGCTGAGGGTCACACACACTCACCCCCGCCATGCATGAATTTTGTGCACCGGGCCTCTAGTTAATAATAGGAAAGAAGCAAAGGGAAGGCCAGACATTATAGGCATGTCTTTTGGGCAGCTTCACCAGGAAGCTGCAATTTCACACTCCCCAGGGAACCACTGGCCTACTCCCTGCAAAACACTGGGGGAAGGAACTGAACAAAGGGGAGATATATTCACTGTGAGATTAGGGTGGCATAGGGAAAATACCTGTCAGTCACCTGGGAACAGAGATCATTGGCCAGAATGGGCATGGCCACTGCAAGTGTGCGAAAATTTGGGAATACATAATCCCCTAAACAAAGGAGTCCATGCTCTCTTGGCACTCTTGTTGCTCCTGGCTCTCTTGTTGCTTTTGTGGCTCTCTTGTTCCTGCTTCCTTGCATTCGTCTGTACGGTCCACAGCCATGTGGACCCTACAAGCAATGGACTAATGGACTGCAGTTGGGAACACAAGCTAAACCAGCCTGATGCTAGCTGGAGTATGCAAATATGGAATGGAAATTCAGGACACTGGCTCTGATTTTAGCCCTGCTAAAGGCAAAATGGAACTTCTTTCTTGGGACTCAGAAAATGAAAGCTTGGAAACTCAGGGGTTTGATTCCACAGAAATAAAGCTTTCTACAATATCACATCCTTCCATGTGAGTCTCAGAAAATTTCTTTTCTTGGAATATCGCAAGAAACCCATTCCTATTAACAACATTGGTAACACTATTAATTATCATCAAGCTAAAGACATAGTAAATAACCTAAAAATATCATTTGACTTAAAGAATGATTTAAGTATACTTCCATTCAACGCATAAGAAATGGTAAAAAGTTCTTCAGAGAATAAAAAAATACCTAAAGTAAGTTAAATCAAAATTTCAAAAACAATAATGGTAATCTCTTATAAGCAACCGATTACTGAAATATAACTTTCTCCTCAAGTACTACATTCATTGTTGGCAAACTTTAAACCATATTCATGAAGAATCAGTAGGAAACCCAAACCATGGGTTTGTTTTCTTTATGCATTAAAAATGTTTCTTTGTGGTGCTCTATACAACTGCCACTCAAAGTGAGCTCTGAGACCAGAAGCACCTCCTCACCTGGGAGCTTATTAAAAATGGAGATTCTGAATCTCACCCACAACCTGAAGAATCAGAATCTGCATTTTAATATGATTACAAGGTGATCCTATGCACATCAAAGTTCAAGAAGTACTGCCCTACAATATAGGTTCTTAACTTTGGCCTTAGGGGCAATATGAGTTTCATGAATCCCCTGAAATTCCACGCAGAATTTTTTGTAAATGAATATATGTACGTCTTACTGGGGAAAGACTCCATATATTTTTATCAAACTCTCAAACTAATATATTACCCCAAGTAGACTAAGAACCACTGCCCTACAGGATTCTATGCCACAGTTTAAAAGTCAAAATATTTCTAAAACTATTTACGCTGCTCTCAATGAGGTCTGTTGAAGAATGACAAGAATGAAGGTCAGAACGTCACAGTGGGTCACGAAAGACCTTATCTGAAGAATTTATTCACACCATGCAAGAACTATGCCAAGAAACCAGTTTGGAGACATCTAAATAAATAATTCTCTACATGAGGTTTGAGATTAAGAATGTGCTCTTGAAGAAGATTCAAACTGAGAAGTAAATAAATATAAAGTAGACATTTTTTTAGAGATAGGATGCCATTAGATGACAGTGCAGGGCTGAATTCTTGTTGTAAGAGCTCAATCAGCAAATTTCTAATGTGAATTCTGTTTGATTTGGGATTTGGGAGCATTTTAAGAAGTTAACTTCCAAGCACATTCTTCTAATACTTCCTTTATGAGGAACCCCAACACACTTTACTAGTCCCACCATCTTCATCTTCTCTGGACCTTAGAAGATAAAATGAAGAAGAAATATGACACAAAAATTAAAAGGGACGTGCTCAGGATATTCAGTGAGTTAGTGATAAAGAATGGCTCTTTTCCAGAAGGTTCTCAGTGATATATGAGAACTGTGTATATATTTCAATCCTTTAACTTATCATCTAAGCATCTTTTTGGGGTGTGTATTACCCCAGAGCATAGACTATGTCTAACTTCTGTTTCCTTAAGGCATAGTGCCTGATTTAATTTAATTTTCTTGACAGGTACTCAAAATGTAAATAAAAGGCATTAACTGGTCTTTCTTGAAACTGATTCTTTATTGTACTACTATTGTAACTTGTCATCAGTGATAAGCCTAATACCTGACAGTCTGGTCTCCAGGGTAGATCTACCTCCTACAGTACCAGTCATTCCAGGCAAGGAGAATACTAGAAAATATTCAGGATATCAAGTCTTCTCTGCCCCTTTCTATTTCCATGGGTATTAGGCAACTATCTGGTTCTTTTATTAGCTCTATTTTTTAGAGCTATTAAAAGTTCTTGTTACCCAAGTAAAATAGGGATTATGATAAAATTTTCACACATTGTTAACTATTAATGTACCTCATTTATACACTAAACATATCCTGATAAAGTATAAATTTTAAATGCAATTATTCACTTATATTATGTCCTCTCAATAATGACAACTATATAAAAAATATAGTACTTTACACATATGATAGTCTCTCAGACATTCAATCAAATGTAAATGTTAATGTTCTAGACACATAATTAACTTGGTTATTTGTTTTTCAGCCCTAACAGTTTAAATGGTGGCTATTCGATTTCTGACATGAAAGAAGAAGAATAATAAGGACAGGGATACTGACATTAGTGATACTTAATAGAAGTGAGGAAGGAAGAGTAATGAAAATAGGGAATAAACTAACATTTACATAAACCAGCTTTTATGACAGGCACTTGTGCAAACCTATGGGGGCAGAGAATACTATCTTGACTTGATAGATGAAACACTATAAAGTGCCAACAGATTAAACAATTACCTAAGATTATGAAGTTAGACAAGTTTTGGGGGAAGAGGAGCGAAGGAGAGTAGTAAGGGTATAGCAAAGGACAAGGAAGAGGACAAGGCAGTGAGCCCAGTTTTATGTGGAGAAATGAAACAATTAAAAGAAGACAAGTACTTAAAGGCAAACAGATTAACTGAGTATAGGAGTAAATGGTTCCTCGCACATGTCACTTAACATTTTAAAAGTAAATGAATGGGATTTTTTGCTAATTTTTAAAAAATAAAATGATACAGCCAGGATTTGTCTGACTCCAATGACCATGCTACAACCACCAGACTCACAGAGAAACTAATCCCATTATACAAATAAGTATTTACAAAAACATTTTAACAGGAAATCTCACGTCATGGGAGTTTTATTTTTAAAAACACAGTAAACACACTTCCAACAACAAAGAAGGATATAAAAATATGTACTAGGTAAGCCACTTAATCTTATTCTTTACCTGAAAGTGACACAGATCTAATCTAAGAGGTTATGGATATGTCACAAAATTCCCAGATTCTCTATAATAGCTCATACATTTCCTCCAGAAATGTATTCTCAACTTTATAATTTCAATCTGAACCATAACTCAAGGCTAAGAAATTCCTGTGCTCATTCCCCACTTTTATATCATCTTTTATTGGTCTCCAAAGACCCTTTTCTAGTTTCAGTGGAGGCCACCTAGATCTCTTTCTCCGGGTCAGGTAAACTCTACTCTTCCCTTAATGTAGTGCCTACCCAGTCAGTGTACAATCAAAAAACCCTGAAACATAAAGAATGGACAAGTGCATTTAAAAATCTAAAGAATTAAAATCTAAGATATCTTAGTGCATCTTCATTTCCTTAAATTGGAGCTTATTTGTATTTAAAATAATATTAAATTCCAGAATATCACAAAAGCTGAATAGATTCTCCATCACATTTCAAACATACTGTATTTAAACCTAACAACAGTCTCACATCCCCAGTTCAAAAGTTAGTTACCTCTTCTTCATCTTCTTCATCTTCAACATCCAGAATTCCTGAATCCTGTTCAGACTTGGGGCTAGTGCTTTCTATCTCCGTATCAAAAATTGTATATGCATCTTTCTTAGCTTTTCTCTTGCTACCTATTCTGGGTGGTTGCAAGACGATGTTATCCAGGTTTCTTTGTTGCTGGGCCTAGGACAGAGACATGCACACACACATTAAGAAAAAAGCAATTAAGCATTCAAAAAACTCATTTTCAACAAATTGGTATCATAAAGAAAACATAACAAAATACCTTAATACATGAAGTTTTAGTCGCAGAAATAAACCCCAACAAAGTAATGTATACATTTTTAACCCTGAAGTTACACCTCTTGATTCATTTTCCCAGTTTCCATGGGGGGCGCGGGGGGGGGGGGGAGAGAGATAATCAGTCAATACAGTATTATCATCATACTTTTCAAATATACCCACTAAATCATCACAAAAATGAAATCTACCCATTTTCCTCTAAGTAGCCAAGAGAATAGTGCAAGATAAATGGCATGCTGAAACCTTGTGGTGGGGAGAGCTCAGGGAACTCTTAAAAGCAGTTGTGTGGATGTAAGAGATCAACACAATTCTCCTGATTAGAAATAAAATATCTTAATAGAGTGATTTGAACTAACTAATCCAACAGGATTTCATGACCTTAATCCGTGGAAAACAAAGTTTTAAAGAATTTCTTCTGAACTCTTCGAGAAAAGGAAGTGTAATCCCCTCAACCTAATAAAATAGACTCAAATGATGGTGTGGTTTCAATAGGTACAAAGAGGTGGGCAGCGTCACTTTCCAGGGTCAACAACAGAAGTATTAAACCAGACGGCATTCGAGCTGGAAGTGACCTCAGTCCCCACTCAGGAGACTGAGGCCAGAAGACAAAGGATTTGATGGGGTCTAGTTAGCAATAAATCAGAATCTCAAAGTGTGATCTCCTAAATTCCACATCAGTGATCTTCCCACTATTCCAATAGTCCCTCAAAGCATGGCAACATGTTTCCCCCAAAAAAGGGGGTTCTGTGATCAAATAAGTGGGAAACACTGCATATCATGTAGCCTTCTTATAGACATATAATGTTTATTAACAAAATAAAAATAGGGAGAAGTTCATTTTTAAAAAACTTCTTTGATTTAACCCAGCATATTCCGAAAGTATTTCATAACGGAAGTTTCCTTTTTTTTAATAATAATTAATATCATCCTAAAATACCAAGCTTGAGAATTTTGACAGAATATATATACCTTAATCAATATATGATATTTCTCCTCAATGAAAAATGGATATTAGTTCAGGAAAAAATCAGTTTCCAAATGTTCTGAATGAGATTAAGGAATTCAAGAGAAATATTAAGTATAAGATGTTAGTCCAGGCACTGGTTAATAGGACAGAGAAAAACTTGAACTATGTGAGCTAGTTTCTGCCAAGAAAATGAAAAGAATCTACATTCCAGAGATTTGAATCAATGGACAAACTTGTTTCTCTACATAGTACTCATTGATATTTTGCTTTGACTTACATAAAAATGGTAACAAACTGAGGTAGAAAAGGCATTCAAAAACACTTAATTTAGGTTTGTACATAAAACATACATATCTTTCAAGCATTAAAATTAGATACAGATACAATATTCTTTCTTTTCCTCTCAAAAGTAAATTCTTCCCCCTTACTTTTAATGCGAACCACACAAAAAGGGATCGAGAACTCTGGGGAGGCACAAAGGAAGGGAGAACTTCCTAAAGCTTTTATACTTTGAAAAGCAAGCCCTCAACTAAAGAGTGACCACTTGTCCCCTAACTCCATTCTCTCCTTCAGTACAGCAATACCAAAAACTTTTTTCTTAAGTTGGTCTCATTTTATTGAATCCTAAGTTAATTATTTTTCTATCACAATCAATAAAATAGTACCAGTGTATCAAAAGTAATCAAGAGAAGCCACACTTAATTTTAAATCTCTTATGACCTGTTCTTTTTAGATGCTATGTATCTGGTTTTCACATCAATTTGGAAGAACACAAATTAAGATAGCAAACGCTATGTTGGAAATGAAAGCATTTCATCTACTATTCCAAAGCTCCATCGAACCTGGGGTCTCTGTTAGCATTATCAAGGCTTCTCTGGCGTGTAAAAAAAGTGGTCAGGGCAGAGCTGCTAAGCAGGAACTGGCCAGGTTAGAAACACTGCATCGCAGGTAGAACAATGAAATAAATCCTCAGATGTTACCCATTATGGCTGCAAATGAAAATTACCAGCTATTCAGAATGTAAGTATGGGACTGGCAAGAGTGGAGAAGAGTAAATATAGATATCGACGTATAAATACATACATATATCTTAAAATAAAAAGCCCTTGGCGGGGGGGCGGGGGTGGGGGGAGTAAATACCCTTCAGAGCTCTCTCCTAACACTCTAAGCCAGTGGTTCTCAACCTTCCTAATGCCATGACCCTTTAATACAGTTCCTCATGTTGTGGTGACCCCCAATTTCATTGTTACAAATTGAACATAATTAAAGCATAGTGATTAATCACAAAAACAATATGTAATTATATATGTGTTTTCCGATGGTCTTAGGCAACCCCTGTGAAAGGGTCCTTCGACCACCAAAGGGGTCACGACTCACAGCTTGAGAACCGCTGCTAGGCTATATCCCCAGGACCATATATTCTGTCCCTCCAGAGACAACCTTTATAATCATGAGCCAAAGAAGCTATTGCCTTCTGCCACGTGGGATGAAGTGGAGGCAGGAGGATACGAAGCACACAAGTAGCAGTTAGACCTTAGAAAACATTTAGGTGTTTTCTTTTTCTTAGTTGTTCATTATTTTTTTGAAAATTTTTACACATTTAACCACCTCTTCCTTAAGGTTCCCTCATATACACTCTTCTCTGGTTTCCTAAAATATAGAAATTAAGCAGGGTTTGTTCCTCAACCCCTCTTCTCTTACCACTCTTTCCACTCTCCCAAGATCAAATAGCACATCTCCAGCTTCCTGTTATTACTGGGTGCTCCACCATCACCTCCATTCCCACATACCTAAAATGGAACTCATCACCTTCTCATTATGATTCCCCTGCCTACTACGGCCAGGCCCTTCCTAACTCACATCATTCATCACACCAAGTAAACATGGGAGAGATTGGGGGGGTGGGGGGGTGTTAAACAAGTACAATCCAAACTCCACATCCGTCACTTAGACTCCACATAATGGAAGTTGAACCTAATTTTCCAATGTATTTCTCCAACATGAATCTTCCACTTGAATCAGACTCTACCTCATAATAGACTAGGTATATTTCCACTTCTGTGTCTCTACTGAATGACCTCTTTCTGCCTGACTCTAACCTTTCCTTCAAAACCCAACTAAATTATTCTGACTTTAGAAAGCCTCCTCTCACTGCCCTAACTCATGGTGCTTTCTCTCTGTAATCCTGTTTTCAGTCAAACATCTATTGAAGGTCTACTTGGTACCAGGCATTGTACTACACACTGAATATAGAAAGAAAAAGAGTCTCTGACTCATGAATCTCACATCAAACTATTATGGAAAGCAGATTACACAATAAGTATAATAGAAATAATACAGAGGACAGTGGGTGAATAAAGAACGTAATCAGAGCTGCTTGGAGGGGTCTCAGGTAAGACTTCACAGAGGAAAAGGTAGCATGCTCTTAAAAGATAAATATAATTTTTCCAAAGGTAGTTAAGTAGAAAGGGTGACCATTCCAGAAAAAGGAAACAGCATGAGAAAGGACTATGTGTGATATAATAACATAATCCACCCAAGGAATAAGTAATTTTGTATAGGAACATAGTTTATAAAGAACTCACCGATAAAGATGTCATACAAAGCAGTTTTGACATTAGCTAGTAGGCAATGGAGAAACAATGAAAGAGTGTAAGCAAGGGAAGTACTTTAAAGCAAGGATCAGCTTTCCAATTCAGGCAAATCCTCTAGGATCATAGGAGTGCTCAACTGGGAGAAGATAGAGACTAGAAATAAGAAAATCAATATAGATCACTATAATAGTCCAATAACAATGATGAGGACTTGAATTAAGGCAGTGGTTCTCAACCTTCTGGCCCTTTAAATACAGTTCCTCATGTTGTGACCCAACCATAAAATTATTTTCGTTGCTACTTCATAACTGTAATGTTGCTACTGTTATGAATTGTAATGTAAATATCTGATATGCAGGATGGTCTTAAGCGACCCCTGTGAAAGGGTCGTTCGACCGCCAAAGGGGTCGCGACCCACAGGTTGAGAACCGCTGAATTAAGGCCTCAGCAGATATATAAAAGGTAGAAGCACCAGAATTTACTAATTTGATTGTAGTACATAAAAAATAGGAAGGAAATAAGAATAACTCTAAGTATTGTGGCCTTGATGACTAGATGGTGGGATCATTCCAAATAGTAGGAACCATGGGAATAGTAAGTTGAGAGCAGGATGGAGAAGAGTTCAGTAAACCTGCCAGATAGCCAGGTAAACAAATGATAGTACCACACTTCAGTACGGATTCTTCTTTCTTTGAGTCTAAGAAACCCATTTATCATTCTTAGATTCCACAAAGCCCAGATTCAGTGACACATATACACTAAATTTGGATAAATGGTTACTATATAAAGGCAATAGATAACAAAGGAAATCTATGAGCGAATAAGATATAGCCCAGTAAAAGAGAGGGCTATCTGCAAAAGACAGGGTTTGTATGTTCTCCTACCTATTAGAAGAGGTAGAAACCCCAAAACCCATAAGAATTACCTAATCTGAACTATTATCCTAAAAATGTTGCTATTAATAGTTTACAACTCTTGAAGAGTTTCTATGAGGCATTATATATGTACATATATACACATATAATTAATAATTATAATATATATATAATTAAATAAAGTTTTATTGTGAACTACAACTTCCAAGGGTGCCTAGCAATAAGACTCAGAGTTAAAATGTGAATCAAAAACTGAAGGCTCCTGTCTTTATCAACCCAATACTGACCTCTAGTGGGCTTAAGGAACATATGCAAGTGACCTTTAGAATCAGAAACTAATTAAGAAGGGTTGGAGACCTGACATAATTACATGGACTTTAATAACAGGGTGCTATAACAAAAAACCAACACACACACAAAAACCTTATTGGAGTAAGACAGGTC